AGAAAATAATTTTTGACCAGAAGGACTAAATGTTATACCTCTAACAAAACCACTAAAAGAAAAAAAAACAACCATGAATTAACAAAACTATCAACATCACTAATTCATAATGAACTATATTACAATAAACAATAAAATGTAAAAGATTTTATAAGTATATATTCATGTTGCTATATACATACATTGCTTCAAAAGTCTTGCTACACAATAAAAAATATGTTTTTCTCATATTTGCTACTATAGGTTTCTAAAATTCTCCTTATATGTTTTGATATGTATGTGAATATTTAGCAAAAAGAAGATATTACATGAGATCATAAAAGGTCATCATTGATAGCTTACACAAATCATTTTGGAATGTCCATGGGTGAATTACTCTAGCAAAATGGTCATAGGGTAGAAAAATGGCGATGTTTTTTGCTGTTCCAGAAGTAAGGAGAGAGCTAAGGAGCCATCATAATGACTGTTTTATGTAATTATACTTCTCATTATACTCTTTAAAAGTCTTTCATTTAATTTAATTCAAAACAAATGATTTACTATGCTTTAATTTTTTAATGAAGTTTTGATTGCTACTGTAATGTCTATTTTAAAATTGCTATATGTTGTTTTTTCATTCTTTTATGAGGGAAGATGAGAATATTTCATCTCAAAAGTCAGCAAAAGTAGCCAAAACATGAAAGAAGCTTACTTGTGTAAGAATCTACAGTATTATTGTTTGTTTTTGGTTATTGTTTGGTATGATCTTGCACAATGGCAACTGTTCATAGAAAACTCAAAATGGAGTCTAAAAACACTATTGCTTCACAATGGAAATAAATATCCAACACATGGTACAGAAGAAAGAAGATTATAATGTCAAAGAACCTCTTAAAAATTAATTATTTAAAATTCAAGTGGGATGTTTATAGCAATTTCAAGATGCTTGTTTTCTTGCTTGGCTTGCAAGAGGAATACAAAAAGTAAACTTGATTCCCTTGCTTATAGGACAGCAGAGCTGATGATAATCATTTCAAGAAAGCTCATCGACTCCCACAAATAAAACTACAGCCAGGATAGTTCAATGTTCTCATTCTGCTTTTAGTAGATTCCAACAAAGTCTTATTATCAAACTTAATATCAAACTAGGATTGGTAAAACATTTTGTAAATGTTTTACACTTTGGAAGAGAAATTTTACAAAAAATGATAGTAATGAAAAGCAACCTTAGCAAATGCTAACTTTGCAATGATTGTATATATGGTTCCCAGCAATGAATGGTAATCCAAGCGCACGTAAAGTAGAGGAATCAGTGAGAGGGTTGCCATTCTTTAAAATAGAAGATAAAATTCACAAACCAGTGCAAGCTCCAATAGTAAGTTTGACAAAAATATTTCTATATAAACTATTTATCTAAACTTAATGAAATTTAACTTTCATGTAAATGTTTTTGTTTTAACTTATATAATATAGAAATTTTTATCATTAAGTTCATTAAAGGATATTATTTGCTAGAAGACATTAGTTGAATAATGAATCCTCAGGAAGTATACAAATTTAGTTTTATGAGTTTTATTTAATTTTAATTTAGTAAATAAATTTTTTATCATACATATTTATACTAATTGAATAAACAGCATGAAACAAAAATGACATAAAAGTTTGTAATACTTTGCCCCATGTTTTTTTTCTTTTTTAAAAAATGAAAAAGCCAGGTAAAATATAATTAGCTACTTTAAGAAAAGTGCTCCTCAATTAGAACCTCAAATTTTTTAACATAAGAACATCATATTAACATAAACATTATTAAAAATTTACCATAATAACTGTTTTAAATTTGAGTAACTGAAACATATTCAAAAATTGTATGTGAATTATGGAGTTTATTTAATGTAGCATTATATCTTGAGTTTTGTTTTATTTCAAAATTATTATTTTAGAATCTGTTACATATATAAAAATGTATTTAAATGAGCAGAAAAATAAGAAAATCAAATATAAACAATTCTGGTTACACAGTTTATAAAACTAAAAACCTGTGTGCTGTAACAGTTTTAAGACATGATCTTGTTTGCAGATGCCAAAATTTTATCTAAAATCAACATATTAAAATTTGATCTTTTTGATTTTGACTTTTTTAGGAAAAAAAGTAAATGAACTTTATTTTTTATTATTTCAAAATTTGCAAATAAATTAAAATGATAAACCTTATAATTTAAAAAAAGTACAGAACTAAAACTACAGTTTTAAAACAAAATCTGCAAAATCTTCAGATTTGAATTGATAAAAATAAAAACAGCAATTAAACAACATGTAAAATAAAACAAAAAAACAAAATAAAAAAAATAAATAATAATAAGAGTAATAAAATCTTATATTTAATATTTAAACATTATCTTAATAGTTATAAGTTTTATGAAATTTAAGAAAATTTTAAAATAAATTCTCACTTGACCATCACAGGCCCCAGATGCAACAGAAGAGACTTTAACTGGGTTGCGTGCTAAGCAGTTAACCCCATCACTATGTCCATCTAATGAGGCTAAAAATGGTTTAGCAAAAACTCTTTCAAGTTTAGCAGCATTTAATGCCCTAGTATATTCTCGAGCAGCTTCAAAAGGATGTAAATCTGGGTCTAAATTTCGTGGTAAACGATTGATTTCAGATGTTGTTCCACGTATATAATCTTCAGGGTTTCGAGATAGTACTTTAACTTTCATTGCATTGCTAATTTTTAGTTTAGAAAAGTATATTTATATATATGTATATATATGTTTATATATATATTTATATAATGCATATATATATATATATATATATATATATATATATATATATATATATATATATATAATGTATATATATATATATATATATATATATATATATATATATATATATATATATATATATATATATATATATATATATATATATATATATATATATATATATATATATATATATGTATATATATATATATATATTTAAGCCCTGCAAATCAATTTTTGCTTCAATTCAAGATTCCATTCAAAAAAAAATGTTTAGAGGTTATTGAATCACTATAAGGGCCCTGTGAATCTGTATTTTTAACTTCAAATCAAATCTTGAATTGAAGCAGGTCGTGATTTACGAATGAAATCAATTCACAAATTGAATCAGAATATGAGAAAATATATATATTACACACAATTGCGTAGCTATATACCACAATAAACCAAAACTAGGCTGTCCTTCTATCATATTTTTGTATATTTATATACACATGCTTATATATGAAAATATAAACTAAATCAAAAATATAGATTATTTTTTGCTGTAAAAATTTAAAGGATTTTCCTAAAACAGTTTGTTCCACAAAAAGAGAAATTATCAAGTTTCCTTGGTTGAATAATCAATTCTTTCCAATATGAGGTTGTTTGTGGCAATTTCTCCCATTGACTTTCAGTATTGCTGACATACAGTCTTGAAGCCAAACCATTCATTTGATGTAGGTCAAATCTTTGTCTTGCAACAGTGGCCAGGAACATAATTTTTATGATAAAATTCTTTGATTTTACATGTTGATGGGGTCAGGCTCATAATCTTAGGCTTTAATTCAGATTCATAATCTGGGTTTTAGGTTCACAATCATAATCATAAAGCAAATGTGGTAGTCATATAGTGGTAGAGCACTCGTCTCATAATCGTGAAATTCTAAGTTCGATCCCCACCACACCCCAGGTAATACCGCGCTCAACTTGTTTCTCTGCGCAGCAGCCATGTTTATTGAAGCTCATGTTTTGGAGTTTAGAGAGGGTTGTAATCGCAAAAGTAGCCTCCTCGACTGTAATGGCCTTTTCAGCCTTGGGGAGTTGAATAATAATAATAAATAAAAAAAATCTCTGAGCAGTACCGCACAGATTTTTCTGTAAAATAGAACTATTTTTAACCTACATGAATTGTGTTGAACATATTTACAATCGGAATTGTACCATTTGCAAAAAATTATGAGAAAGAATAAATTCAATATGATGCTTCCTATTTTGATCTGTTAAAAAAGGTTTCACAGCTGACATGCAACCCTAAGGGTCAAGGTTAGGGTTTGGTTAGGGTATGGTCTTTAACAATAATCGTTTCGTAAAAGACTTTTTTATGGACTTGCTAAAGGGGCACCCTGAAATACACGTCCGCCCAGATTTACCTCATTAAGCTTGGTTTCTAATACACTACACGAGTTTATAGTTAACATGGGTTTTAGTTCCGTTCCGTAAATTATCACAAAGTCGTTTGAAGGTTAAATATTTCGAACTTAAGTTCGTCCTAGGAAAGATATTTTGCGTTAAAAAAAAATTTATATCAAAGTAATATCAATATGTTATAACATATTAAGAATATAATTATTATGCTTCTCAAAATTTTTCTCAAATCTTTTCAAATTCTAGAAATGTTTACTTTTCTAAAAAATTTTGAGATATTTTGCGGAACGGAACTGAGACTATAAATCCACGAAGTAGTAGAAATGTCCTACAACAATTGTACAACAATGTTTTATAATTCAGATGTTTTCTTGCGTAAATTGCATGACTTAACTTCGGTTGCACAACAAAGTTTATGTTGTAAAACCAAGGTAACGGAAATAAAAGCAAATCAATTTGGCAGCAATTGGCGTACAATAAAAACGCACAAATGTTGTACAATATTTCTTCAACTATTATAAATCAAGCTTTAAGCCGTTGTTCAAAGTCAGGGCTATGTTTTAAGGAAGTAATCTTGTGTGTTAATATTTATTGAATCAAAAACATAAATGTTTACATTATTAAACTCCATAGTTTGCCAACATTAAGGATTTTTCTGTTATAACCTTTTTGTGTTCTATATGTACCAACTTTTATTATTTTGAAAGATGTATGAATTATTGAACAAATTAACCAGTAGCGTTTTTTAAAAACAAGAATAAAATGGTGTTATTCAAAATATTACATTAAAAAAAAAATCTAACAACTTATATTAGGGTGTGTCATACTACAGGGTAAAACACCCTGTGTTTGCCTTGTGACATAGTCTTTGCCACTTGGTAACTAAAAAACATGCAAAGCAAAAATTAATTGCTAAAAATTTTTGAAACAATATCTAAAAAAACTCTGATGTTCTCTTTATAACTGGCGAAAATTTGATGATGGTAGCTTTAAAAATAAAAGCACAGGATTTATTGCAACCTTTGTTTAAAATTTCTTAATGCTTAATGACAAATTTTAGATAAGCTTTTGGATAATCACTTAAAAACATATTATTTATAATTTAATTCTTTTTTTTTGTTTCTCGGGTTGTTATTAGGATGCAGGAATATTTTATAAAAAAAGAATTAGTCGGTGAATTTGATAGGGTGAACATAGAGTGGTGGTGGCAACCAATGGAATCAAAATAACCGCCTTGCTAGTAATCGCTAGCAAAAAAAATCGAAAAATTGACTTTTTTTTCCCTTATCTTAAATTATGAACTCTGGAACACTTGTCAAAGAATATGGCTTAATTTTAATTAAATATAGCCATGTAATAAGCAGTTAAATTTTTTTCAGTCATCGCAAAACTCACTTTCTAGTAGTTGCCACTTAAGATAATTGATCATTTTGTTTATAAACTTTGGCATATAAAAATTTGCCGAATGGTCACACACGAGCAGTAAACGCCTATGGAAAGAAATGAAGTACATTAGAATAAAGGAGAATTATTTTTCGAACAAATAATATTTTGACAGTTGTCAAGACAAAAATAAACATTAATAGAGGAATAACTTAAAATAAATAAGACAAAAAATGTACCTAAACAGAACTTACAATAATAATACAATTTAAAAAATTATTTTATAAACACTAATATGAACGAAGATATACAACAAATATATCACCAAACAAAAACTTATAAAACAAAAAATTGATAGTATAAAAAGTATGCATACGAAATATAAAGTATGCATACAACAACATCAGAATGAAAAAAAAAAACATTAAAGCTGATGTGTAAATATAATTTGTGTAGTGATTAAGTAATCAAACTTAAACTAGTAATTTTTTAGTAATTGAATTAGTAATCAAAATTAAACTAGTAATTTTTTAGTAAGAACGTAATCGCTGGTAAAAAAAAATCGAAAAACTGTCATTTTTTTCTTCCTTATCTTAAATTATGAACACTAGAATAATTGTCAAAATGAGTCTAGCTTAATTTTAATTAAATATAGCCATGTAATAAGCAGTTAAATATTTTTCAGTCACCGCAAAACTCACTTTCTTGAAGATGCAACTTTAGGTTTTTGATCACTTTAATTGTTTGTAAACCTATTTGTCTTTTTCAGAATAATCTTCATAGTAGAATAATTTCAGAATAATCTTCATCTGTGGCGATTGGTTACTTTATGATAAGTGCAAATATGACATTTTGTAGAAGAAGAGTTTGAAAATTTGATTTGCTGCCATAAATCAGGTAACAATGAAAAAAAACTTTTCATAAAAATTAATTATTATTTTTTTTAAATTACAGTGATATACGAAGTATAACAAAACTGCATTCTTATCTTAACATGACCAATTTTGCACTTATCATAAATTAACAAATGGTCAGAGATATTAACACTTTTTTTTTAATTATTCACCAATTTTGATCAAAACTTGATCAAAATTGGAGCTATTTTATTGACGTAAAGCTGACCAATTACTGATTATAAGCAATTGCTTTTTTTTATTCACCCGGCCTAATGTGTTTTTACAATTTAATGTGTAATTGTCAAAGTGCTTATACGACTTTTAATAATCATTTTTAAAAATTGTTTTTTAGTATAAATTATCAATAGAATTTGTAACGAGATAGCTGTTTAAGATAATTACAAGAATGTTCCATGACGTCATATGGTTTATGGTAATTGGTTTTTTAATCTTTTGAAGATGCTCATTTATAAGTGAATCAAACAAAGCGAGAAATTCCACAAATTTTAAAACTTTCTATTATCCAAAAAAGACCTCCAAAAACAAAAATAGCGCCGGGCCCCAAGAAGTCTTAATCCGCCATTGAAAAATCGTGAAACGGTTGAAATCTTAAGTTCTTGGTATGCAAAATCTTGTTTTATGTGGAATACGCAAAAAACTGAACACTACTGTTCAGTTTTTTGCGTATTCCACATAAAACAAGATTTTGCATACCAAGAACTTTAACTAAAGATTTCAACCGTTTCACGATTTGTCAGTGGCGGATTAAGACTTCTTTTGTTTTTGGAGGTCTTTTTTTGGGCAAGAGCCTAAAAATGACTAATAAAAAAGTCCTATAAAATTTTAGGGGGCCCCTAAATTTGCGGGACCCGGGGCTATAGCCCCCTACCCCCTTGATCTGGCACTGCAATTTGTTGCCAATACTGATCCTCTTTTTTAACGAGTTGTAAATGTTTGGTATCATTTGTTTTATTGTATCGCAGTCGCATCTCAAACTCATTCCATGACTGAAAATTCGCTAGATGTTCACTACTTTTCTCATGCCCTGAAAGAAATGCAGAGATGTCTTTTTAATCAAGTCAACCTTTAAAAGAAAAAGACACTGTGTATTGCTTCTGCAGCAGAAGCAACATACAGTGTCATTACTTATAGAATGCTGCAGCTAATTTCTGTGAACTTCACCTCTATTGACAAACTGACAGTTGTAATGGTTTTTTGAAAATTTCTTTGCATACTATTACTTTGCATACTATGCTTCAACTTGATTCTTTATTGT